TTCCGAAACATCAGAGGTGGCATCAGGTGCCATAGAGGACTGAGCATCCCCTGCTCCTTCTCATGATCGCGAAATAACGGAAAATCCGTCGTCAATTCAGTGTATAAATAATGGACTAACAATAAGTATGAAAAACGTCAGTCAGCATTAGACTCAATGATAAATTGTTTTTTATACTGGTCATTGTTTCGACCAAAGAACTTACGGAATGATGATTTTAGATGAGTCGGCTTATATTCTTGTTTCACCAACTTGTTTGTCAATAATATACCTCGTTTTAGAAATTGTACGTACGTAGAGCATGCTCTTGCGTATCGAATTAATTGAGAGATATCAACTCCGTATTTAGGTGATGAAGGTATAATGCTGCATAAGCAAGGGAAGTTGACGATTGAAAAGTTAAAGTCATCACGTTTATCATAGAGCTTGGTTGTTAGATTACCATTAATGTCCTTTTCAAGTAAAATATACAAATATGAAACAGATGTAACAGACTCTGTGGTATCTTTTATCTCAAGCTCCGGGATATATCGTAGTGACATAAGAATGGAAATTACCATTGTTAATTGACAATACGTCGTCGATATTCATGTATCTAAATGTCGAGTTGAAGGCCAGAGCAAGTGTTTTCCTCTTTTCACGTATAAGATTTTGGACAACTGAATTCTGCTTCATATGAATACAAAAATAGGTCTGCTAATAACGGGGCGTAATTTGTACCCTGGGAATTCCATTAGATTTATGGAAGACCTGGTCTCCAAAAACCACATAGATATTGTCAATCAGAAACTCAAGCATATTTTTGATTTGAACATATTTTATTGCACAAAATATATACAATGGGATTGGGCACAAGTTCCAAGCATATTTTTGATGTTAACTTCAAAGTACTTGTGTGTACAATCAGATTTTTTAAAAGAAAATAAGAACAACGAACTCTAACTCTTGATTCTCGCCTACATTTTGCACCCATTAAATTCAATATTGATTGCAATTTGGCCATTAAATCTTTGTTTAATACAAAGAACAGTTCTACGTTAATTGATTTATCATTTTAATTCCAGCGCTAGATAGTAAATTATCATTAATTCCAGCTCTTGAAAAAAGGGGGGTAGATGATATTTTCTAGTGAAATCGAACTTTCAAGAATCACCATATTTTGAAATAGTCTTAAATATGATAAAATGCATTTCATATCTTTTCTTATGTTTTACGCAAATAAACAAAACATATATAGATTAATAAAATACAATTATTTAGTTGTAAATAGCTTTAAAATTGGTGAAAAGTCAGCATTTTTTTTTCGTTTTTTGTCTATAAACATATGTCCCCCCCCCCCCCCCCCCCCCCCCCCCCCCCCCCCCCCCCCCCCCCCCTGTGAAACACAAAAAGCTTTGGCATAAATTTGTAAAATGACAGTCCATATTACCTGTAAAAAGGAATTTTTGTTTCACGGGGGGATGTTTTAAAAATATTTTCCGTTAATTTCTGTAGTGAAAAACACGTTTTACCAAAATGATAGATTTATCTCTCTTTGGTATCCCAAATAAGTAACGTTTTATGAAAATTCATATAAATATCTATAAAAATGTTGAAAATCATTCGAATATGTTAACTTTTGAGAATTGACTTAGAGGTAGGCGGGTGAACAATACTATCGTTCATAATTCTTTACGAGTTTCATTTTTATTGAAAAAGCAACTGTCAATGATATAAAAAGCCTGGATCCGGACTTAAATTTATCGTGGGGAATGGTTGAACGTTGAAAAGTCATAAGTTTTTTAAGCTGTTGATTTTGGTAAAATCTTGTTATTTTAAATTTTCCAAAAGTTCCTCGGAATTTTTAAGTATCCACATCTGATTTATACCACTTCTCGAATATATTGCTGCACAGCTCTCTTGGAGTTTCTCCTTCACGTCTGTTAATATCTTATTGCAGAGTAAAAGAAGAAGCAAGTTGAAGATAAACTGATGACACAAACCAAGATTGAAAACCAGAAGTCTCTGTCGAGACTGTAGCTCTACTGGTTTGTACTTATAACAAGGGAAGAGAAAGTAGCCATTGGGACTTGAAACTTTACAACAGCTAGCAATAAATATAATAATGATCCTTGATTAAGTCTGTTTTGGGGGCAACTTGTGTGCCATATCAAATTAACATCAGACCGAAACTGTAGGAGGAGTATCGATTCTAAAGTATTTCACAGATATTTCTTTTTTTAGTAACTGTTGCAACAACGTTCATCAAAATCAAGAACAAATGCACTACATAATAAATCATAGTGTAGTCTACTTGTGTGCCAAAGAATATTAAAATCCGACCAAAACTGTAGGAGGAGTAGCGTTTTAAAACAATTCCACAGAAATTTCTATTTTTAGTAACCATGGCAACACCGGTCATCGAAATCAAAAATCATAGTGTAGTCTACACGTATGCCAAGTTATATTGAAATAAGACTAAAACTGTAGGAGGAGTAGCGTTTTAATGGAATTTCACAGCAATTTCTATTTTTAGTATCCATGTCAACACCGTTCATCGAAATAAAAAAAACCCCGATGCACTAAGGTATGTATCTTAGTGTAGTCTACTTGTGTGCCAAGTATTATTGAAATCAGACCAAAACTGTAGGCGGAGTAGCATTTTAAGGAAATTCACAGAATTTTCTATTTTTAGTAACCATGGCAACATCGGTCATCGAAATCAAAAACCGATGCACTAAATTATGTATCTTAGTGTAGTCTACTTGTGTGCTAAGTAATATTGAAATCAGACCAAAAATGTAGGAGGAGTAGCATGGCAAGCTTCGGCAAACACGTTGAAGAAACAATGACATCAAAAGTCTCGTTTAAAATCACCAATTCAGATGTTCTTTGGACGATACAACGACCTTGTCATCAATTATAATCTATCATTTGAGCCGAATGCTGACTGACCTTTTTTTATATGAATTGTTAGACCATTATTTACACACGCAATTGTTTACGAATTTCGTCTTTATTTCCCGATCATGACAACGAACAGAAGGCGGGTGTGACTGGTCGAGAGGGAATGCTTACTCCTCCATGGCACCTGATCCCACTGTTGGTGTTTTCAGAGAGGTCCGTGTTTGCTCTCGATTTGTATTGTTTTAATGAACTTTTGAGTTCGATAACTGTTGTCGCCACAATTATTATAAGGTTTTATCAAGTTTTAAAATCTTGTATTTATTCGATATAAATAAAACTCATTTCCCTTGAATGGAATGTAAATAAATATTTGAAAATGGAAAATGATTTTAAATAATCGAATTTTTGGAAAGGGAACTCTAGATGTGAGTCGGATTGAATTATCAGATGTGAAAAAAAAGTCAGAGTTCTTCTAAAATACGGCCGAGATCTCAAAACAATGGCTACATTCGCCTGCTGCAACCAAAAATACTTATATTTTCCTTATAGTCTTTTTCATATTTTATCACTTTCAGTCTACTGAAAACAGACCGACCATACATCGATCATACATCAAATAAATATGATGCCTTGTACTGTGTTACAGCATATTCGAGAATTATTCTCGTGAATCAAATATGGTTTTCACAAAACTCCGAAGAACTTTTAGAAAATTTAAAATTACAAAAATCATTAGCATTAAAACGTGTATGAATTTTTTCTTACGGTTACAACCTTTCCTTACTATAAATCAAAGTCCAAGCTTTTTGACATCATAGGAAAGCGCTTCTTGTAATATATTGTGAATTCTCGTGTTTAATATTTACTTCGTAAAAATTATTTTGAATCAACACATAATATTATTTCCTCTAAAATTGATTATAAAAGGATGCTGGAGATCATCATTTACAACATCTTTGTAGTGTTTGGAGACAGATTTTGTTGGAATTTCGATGGGCACTAATTATGCTCCTTTAGTCTTTATTATCCTTTGAAGCAGAATGAATTTTAAAAACTTTACCCACTTGCCGTGACCTTCAACTCGACATTTAAACATGTTCACGATTTTTTTTTTTATCAATTAACGATGTTTTTTTTATGTTGACTTGATATATATCCCTTGTAAACTCGAAATAAAAGACAATCGGCCACATCTGTTTCATACCTGGATGTTTCATTAACCAAAGAATACAGTCTATGGCAGGGAGTACCAAAGAAACTGCTAAAATTTCCATTCATACCTTAACTGTGTCCAGTCATGATAGATCCAATGATGGGTATTGCCAATCAAAGTCATTATAACGGCTACAGAACTAGCTTCTTGCCGTACAAGTGGGAATTTTAGCGAGACGCAAGTTTAGCGATTTGTCCTTAAAAATTGGTATTTCATTTTTAGAGAGATGTAATTTTAGCAATTTTAAAAAGCTCGCTTACGAAACTATTACAAATTAGAGGTACTGTGAGCAATTAGCATACGAAATGATACCCCCCGCCTCCCATATGAGTATAATGGCAGTGTCCATGTTTTGCTATGGGAAACACAAAATATGTGTCGGATCAAAAAGTAAAATAAGAGGTGCTCAATGGCAATATGTATTAAAGATTTTGTGAAAGTTTCATCGAATTTCATTCAGTGGTATGAGAGGAGTTGCGGATAAGAGATGGGTACCCCAAAGCGTAACAGACGGACGGACGCACAGCTAGACGGACGGGCGCACGTACAGACATACCAATTACTATATACCCTCCCGCTTTTCAAGCGGGGGGTATAATAAAACGCAATTAATTTTTAGCGATTCAATTTTAGCGATCTTGGCACCCTCGCTAATAATGCCAAAATTAAATCCTCGCTAAAAAATCTGCTTATTCGGTTTTTAAAAATTTAATTGACATCTCAAAATCACGAAAATACATCTTATGAAGTTAATTCATCAAGAGGTAAAGTTCGGAATTTACACAAGCCACAGAAAATCTCTTTCGAGATAATAATTCTTTACAATCGAGAATTTGCATACAACACCTTCACTTGAGTGCATGCAATCAGTCATTTGGAAAGGTGAAACAAAAGACACTGAGCTAGGTGTTAGAGGCAGGTCTACCTTTATACTACCTGTTTGTCTTTCTCTACCTGAAATTTTATCAAGTCGGATAAACACTGCTTTATGACCAGATTCTGAATGTGGCAATGCCCCTTTACCAGGGAATATCGAATATTCGCAGAGTGATTAGGAAATTGTTTGTTGTGTAAACACAATTTAATGACTGGTGGTGCTTATCCGTTATAGACAGTTGACAGTTTGAAGACATTTGTTGGTCTATATTACAGAAAAATCATCACCGCTAATTTTTATAACAGATGTAAAGGTATTTATAAACGTAAACTTATAACAGCAATATCCATTAGAGGCGTGTGCTTCATGTTCTATAGGTAAATGAAATAAACTGGTCGATTTTCACTGAATACAAATGGACCGTCAGTGGTGAAATTCCGCTATCTTATCTGGCAGCAGTTATTGAAAAGTTTTAACCGTGTTCAAACATGCAAATTATCTTTTTCACGTCACAAGGAGCAAACCTATTGGACAATCCCGCCGTTTGATATATGGTGCTTCAATTTCACAAATACACAGGTGAAAACAAAAAAAAGTGCAAGTGGCTCTAGACTGGATTTGAAAAGTGGAGACTTTAAGACATGGCGATGAAGGATAATACAACTCGGGAACTTTAAGAAAAATTTACTGTGTCCATCAGTCATAAACTATGTGGAGTGCTACCAAAGTTCGGGCCCGGATCACGGAAACTGACCCCGTCTTCAAGGCCCGATACATCGGCTGTGCCGAGACTTTTACCGCGAGTGGTCAAGGCTGCACCACGGGGCCGGTACAGAAGCTCTGGGATAACGCCGGGGGCGAAAAAGAGCTGAAAAAAGTGACCATCGTCATCAACACGGGCGGCATAACCATCAAAGGATCCGATAAGAAAAAAGAACAGGGGAAGTTTTATCCCATAGAGACCATTTCATTTTGCAATGCGGACTTAGCTATCAATGAGCGCATCTTCTGCTGGATTTGTAAGGATTCCGAGTCTCCGTCGTTACAATGCCACGCTGTGATTTGTGGAAGCAAAGAGGAGGCAAAATCCATGTCTCTCGTAATGTCTCGGGCCTTCCAAATAGCTTACAAAGAATGGAAGACTTCCAAGGTTCGCGAGGAACGCGAAAGCAAAAAAATCCGTACTAAGGATGAAATTAAAGGTAAACAGTCAAGTTTCCGGAAGGATTCGGACTCTATACATAGTAGTGAATCCGGATCTGATACCCAAGCAGTTGCCCGGAAGTTATCCAGGCGAGATTCCGGATGTCAGACTGAAATGAACGATTTATCTAATGGATTAGATAGCTCACTAAAGATTAAAGATTCTAATTTGGACACCGTTTCTGAGACCGGAAGTAATGTCCCTCCTGTACCGGATGTTAATTCAGTGTCGGTAGGGACTGAGGTGCAATCGTCGGAAAAAGAGTTTTTGTACTGAATACTTGATATTACATTAATAGTTGTTTAAGGTCTAGTCTAATTCTTTGATATTCATATTCAATTATAAATTTAATGTACAGGACAAACGTTAAATCATTAAGCTGAAAGGTTTGTTATATATATAAGCTGTCTTTGTTGAAAGGATGTGGCTCAGTTTACTTTAATTTATGCCCATAAATAATAATGAAGGCATTTATGCATTTTTAGATGTTTTTTGCATAATTATTTCCTGTCTGATACACAAATGAAGTCATTTTCTTGTATGTGATATGCATTTATCTGCACCAGACTCAAGTAAAAATATTACTTCCTGTTACCGTTTGATGTATTAGTTAACTAACTTCAAGCTATCCATCAAAAAAACAGCGGACCAGATTTATGACAGAGAACCAGATTTATGGAAAATTATATATCAACAATGGAGACCCCGTTAAGATATTTATGGCTTCATTTTAAGAGCTCAATATATTATAAAAAGTTCAAAGAAAACTTGATATTAGCATAAGACCCTCAGGCCAGCCATGTATAGATGTTTTGAATTACAAACCTTAAAACAATGCACCAGAGAGAGGGTTAATTGGCCATTAAAACTATTCCTCGTAAGAAAGTTCAAGTACATGTATATACATATTTTTACTTTGATTTAAAATTGGACTTGCGTTTTAAGAAAAAATAAATAAATGGAATATCGCTGGCATACTCGTGACGAATTTTTACATTTCATATGCTTTATTGGTAGCTACTTAAATATGGCATTGACCAATGAAATACATGTATATTTAATAGATATATGCAGTATAACCAAGATACAGAGGAACATGTAAGGTTATCTGTAAAATAACTGAGTAAATATCACACGTTTCCTAAGTTTACACGAGTATCATTGAGCGGGGCTCTTGTCGATTGGCGTCATAGAAACACGGCCCTTTGTAAATCAGAGGTTTTTACTTTAGGACCTTTGAAGAAATTTTATGACCTACATAATATGAATACTCAGTGATTAGGATATCAGTAGTTTTACACACAGGTGGAAAATTATTTTGTTTCCATTTAATCATAAAGATTCAATACACAGAATCGAATTTATAGCGTATTCGAATACTCCGTAATCTCAAATCGCAGTTTTGTGGGAGTTATAAATTAAACTGCACAATGTGATTACAATTTAATTGTGTCTCATTCCACGAATGATCTTTATGATAACTGCGAAAATTAAGACAGAATAATTTTTGTTGTGACATAATCATTGTGCTACAATGAACAAAACATAACCATAAAAATGTATATATTAAAATTTAATAAAATGTATAAAATAAAAATTAAAAAAAATTCAATCGGCGAAACCATTCCGAAAATGTTTAGTCAATATTACTGACTGAAGAGCTTTATCTTATACACTGTACATGTAAATGACATTTTTGAACCATAATATATCTCCGTTTGAAGGATGGCAGATTTCTAGACGCAAAAGGGGACATTATAAAACTTTCTTGACTGTATTTTGTGTCATCAAATGTACAGAACTGGATACTTTTGTCAATCCAATTCTTTGTTATTTCACTATGGGTTGTGTAAAAATCAATAACATTAAATGGATTTATAAAATGTTAAGAGGCGTCTAATATGTCTCCAGCTAAATCCCAATAAAGACTGCCAATATCCCATCAAGAGGAAAGACTTAAATTTTAGTCCCTGGTTCAAGATGAATAAAGCATCAGTTGTTTAGGGGATATGTATTAATTCGGGGAATAAGAGAGAGAGAGAGAGAGAGAGAGAGAGAGAGAGAGGTCACCTGTATCAAATTTTAAGCAAAGAACATAAATAAATTAAAAAAACCCAGCCAACTATCCAGCCTCTCATCCTCCCAAAATACTCTTATTTGAAAATTCTTTTTTTTTTGTTTTTTTTTTTGAAATTTCAATATATAAAATTAATAAAATTAATGTAGCTAGGAAAGAATTCGGGTTCTTAGTGAAAAAGAGTGAAATAACGAACGATGATCAATCTTATAAAAAGAACTTCAAACAGTACATATCTGTTAACAGGACATAAACAGCGACCTAGGAAATATAGGACTTCAGAAAAGGTGGGATCAGGTGCCCAGAAGGAGTAAGCATCCCCTGCTGACCGATCACACCCGCCGTGAGCTCTGTCTATTGATCAGGTTGACGGAACATTCCGAAGTAAATTTTTGTAC